TCTGTCTGCCTGCCTGCCTGCCTGCCTGCCTGCCTGCCTGCCTGCCTAACAGTCTGCTTATGGGAGGCGTTGAGTGACAGCACCCACATGTTCCCCAAATCCAAGTGTATTCCCCACAGTGAAGCTGTCCTTTCAATCTGGGCTTTGCTGGGAACCAGGAGGGCCAAGGGGGTATGTTGGCTAAGGTGTTGAATTAGGCTCAGAGGTTGTCCACTTCGGACCATAAAAACTCAGTAGGAGATTTGGGGCCAATCATTCTCTCCCCATCCAATCTACGCCACAGGGCTGCTGTTGGGGGAGGGAATAAAATGAAGGGGGATCCTCACAGAAGCCGCTTGTGCTCTCGGAGAAAAAGTGGGATATACCCCAAACCAAATCAATAATAGTAATTAAAGAATTACATGTTTGGGTGCTCTTTCTCCAGTTCAAATTACCTCAGTTATCAAGGATAGGAGAGTGGACACAGCAACTACTTAAGGTCCAGACGACTAGAAGAACTATGTTCTAAATGAAAAACCAGCTTGTACAGCAGGAAATACAATCATTTATTTTTTTAAAGCAGCAAACAATTTCAAATAGTAAAAAGCAATAACCCACAAAGCCTAGATTTAGCAGAACCAGGCATAGAAAACTCTTCTGTTCACAAATATCAGTGCTGGAATGATTCAAGTATGACGTTCCACAACCACCAGATAAATCTCTCTCAGCGACTCTCCATCCAAGATCTTCTTCCCAGCCAGAGGACCCTAAATCGTGCCAACCCATCCATGTTGCAGAGTACAGCTTGCCCTGAAAAATAGGTAGCATACAAGACGTTAACAAGGAGGCTTGAGGCCTAATTTAAGCCAAGGTTTCTCCAAACTCATCCCTAGAAATGTATACAGGTATTTCATCCCCTTCTAATTTGGGACTCTGGGATGTTCTGTGCTGAGGGGCATCCACAGGGGTAGGGGGTCAAAAAAGTCAATGTGTTGGCTTTGATTGTATGGTTGTGGCCACCATTTTGAATTTTTTGAACCCCTACTCATGCCTGACGAGAATTATGGAACTGTAATTTAACATATATGGAGAACATCATCCTGGGGGGAAGCAGTCTAGAGCCTGATCTGTAAACACTGCATAGTGTAGCCAAGTCAAAGCAAAACCATTTGTTTTGGAATCTCCAAAGAATACGTGTTCTTACAATACTCGGGATTCAAACACGAATACCTGCAGTTTGAAAAGTAATGGCATTATAGAAACATTTGAGGACCTGTGAAGATTGGAAAATGTACCCTTGACTAAGCCTTATCTGGAATTAAAGATGGAAAGACGATGACTGTTAAATCCTTCTCCATAAATACTGTAGAAAAGGAAGGAAGGAAGGAAGGAAGGAAGGAAGGAAGGAAGGAAGGAAGGAAGGAAG